TTATAATTAAATAAAACGATATAATTTAATGTTAGAACTCTAATTTATTTTAAAAGTCAGAATAGATATGTACTTTTCCCTTATTATTATTATTAAGTAAATATATTCATTGATTCGGTAAAAAGATGATATATATGATGATTAGAACTATAGTGGAGCACAAAACCACCTAGCTAGTTTTGGTGCAGAAAATCAAACTAGAGGCTCCCATGTGAAAGTGAAACACTAAAGGAAAATTCCAAAAAAAAAAGTGACCGCAAACTAATTTTTTTTTTTTTCTATGTTTCAAGTTTAGAAAAGTAAATTAATTTCATAATTTTGTTTCTATATAAAAAATTGTTTTCACAAAATTAGTCACGGATAGGTTAGGAGAAGAAAGGGGAAAAATCTGTTCCAGAAATCTTGTGACAAAGAGATGGTAATACGACAGAACATTCTTTTTCATTCAACTACAGGTAATAGCAAAAAGTCAGAGAACTTGCAACCATAGTTTTCTACTCATCAATAATCTAGAGTGATGTTTCACTACACTAAGCTAATTACACTATCTATCAAATGACAATTGTAAAGTATCCATCCATTATCAGTCTACCAACAAGAAGGAAATGAGAAGGAACTTCCACTATGCATTTTTGTCATTTGTCCATGTGATAAATGGAAATAAGTGAAGTTGTCTAAACAATGTAGCAACTTGAGCAAGTTAAAACTATGCAAAAGACAATGCAAATCTCCAACTGAATGAAACTATCCAAAAAGCCAAGATGCTTCGTATCTTTGATTCTTTACAGCTACAATATATTGTTGATGATTGATATGTGATATGAACAATAAGATCCCAAAAAAACCTCCACTTGAGGTTATATTCATTGGACAAAGGAGAAAACAAATTATGAGGTTAATATAAGTAAAGGAATATAAATCCAACAATTGTTAAAAAAAAAAAAAAAGCAATCCAACAATTATGAGAAAATTTTAATATGCAACCCTTATGAACCCAGAAATCCTAAAGTTAATATAAGTGAAGGCATATGAATCCAACAATCCAACAATTGTAAGAAAAAAGTAATCTAGCAATTATAAGAAAAAATTAATATGTTGCCCATATGAATCTAGCAATCCAACAACTATAAGAAAAAAAAAAAACAATCTAGCAATTATAAGAAAAAAAAATATGCTGCCTAGTTAATTCCAATCTAATGAAGTTAATTAAAAATAAGTGGGATTACTTTACCTACTACCTTAACACCAAAAGACCAAACCTTAAAGCCATTCATTTTAGAATGGCAAAAAATCCATATGGAGCTTTTAAAATTCTACAAACAGTAATAGAGCATAGAGTCAATTTATATTTAAAATGTTAAATGAAATAGAAGAAATTAGTATTAAAAGATCATATCTTTCTCAAGACTATCCAGAAGATCCAAGTTTTCCTCTTTAGAAACTATTCTTGACTTAATCTGCAATTAGTCCTCTACCCAAATAAGGGCTTATGCCATTCTTGGGGTCAAAGATGATCTAAAAGCATCAAGAACTCTCCCTCTTGTGCTAAAAGACAAATGAAAAGCAACAGTGGAAATCAGAAAAGCCAGAACATCTCTAACCATAGCTGCCAAGACAAGGAACCTTGGAGCATTCAACTTCCACTCTCCAAGTAAGTTAAAATCATCATTATCATCCTCAACATCCTCTCCCAAATACTTATCCAACTTAGTTTTTTTTTTTTTTTTTTAAATGTGCCCATTCTCAATTTTGAACATCTTATAAGCAAACTTAAGGTGTTGCCTACTCTTATACTTGGGCTCACTTTCATTAAAGGCATCACTAGCACTATTATTACCCTCTTGAACTATAGTTTGACCTTGTCCACCACCAAAAACCTGTTGGCTCCATGCACTCCAAGAGGGAGGTGAATTGGAGTTGGAAAATTTTCACTTCTTTACAACCACCAAACAAAAATTAAAGAGTAAGGAGGAAGAGCTTCTTGCATAATGATTTTATAGAGGTTCGGTCCAACCACTTGGAACCTAGTCCTCTACATTGGCTTCACTCACCAAGGATTTCCTCCACACTCTCCACTAAGAAAAACAAGGGTGGCAAAGGGGCCACTCAATCCTTTTACAAGAAGAAGGGTGTTTCTCTCAAATCTCACCCCTTTACAAGTTAAACCCCAAGAATCCTCTCTACTAATCACTCTTGAAGGAATAATCACACCCCCAAGATAACACACAAGTAGAACAAGAAGAGGATTACAAACAAAGATCAAAAACTCAAGTTAAAGCACAAGTTGGTAGGTAAAAATATTCAATACAATGCTCAAAAACTTGTTCCAGATCTATTACCAACCATATTTATAGCCCCTTGGTCGAAAATAGTTGTTTCTAACCATCGGGGGTCATTAAGTGCTCTATTGGTCATATAATTTCAAGTTGTAGATTTGTCAGCAAAGCTGGCTCCAAATTGGAGCCGGCTTTTAGCAGAGCCAGCTTTGTAGCCTTCTTGCACATGTTTTTCTCAAGAGCCGGCTACAAAAACATAAAATTGGCTTTGGAAATCCGACTTTAAAAAGATTAAAGAATTTTTAAATAACTTAATCATTGTGCATTTAATGCACCATCATAGTCAGTTGCAAAGTTAAAGCCAGCTTTGCGTCCATTTTTCGTGCACGCCAAACTACAGGTTTAAAACTTTCACCCATAAAGCCGGCTACAGAATCTAAAGCCTGCTCTTTGTAGTTTTCTTCACCAGAGCCGACTGCAGATTTCTAGAGCGGGCTCTCTGCACAATTTATAGCCTTTTTGTTCCAATTTAGTGCAGTCCAAGTTCAGTTAATTTTGTGATCTTTTGAAAGTTCAACTTCACACTTAAATAAACAAATTAGTCATTCAAATATGTTTTGTAATTATTAAAATCATAGGTACAACAAAACCATTCTCATATACTCAGCAAACAACCTCTTCAATTCAAAACAAACCATTTTACCATATTGCATTCCCTTCTCTTTACCATACACTTTCATTAATAAAAATTCAAGAAACCTTAATTTGTTCCTTTGATAAAGGACTACAGCATGGAAAATGTTCTTGTTCATCTCTATAGGAGCACCCCAATACTTGTGAAACTCTACTCTAATTGATTTTGCCATGTCTTTTACATCCACATCTTTCTCCCAAGATTTTAGCAAACAATCAACTTTAAAATTCAATTAGAAGTAAAACTTAATGAATGACCAAAATGATAATTAAGCTACAAATTAATCAATAGAACACATAATATGCTAACATACACATATATATTTATTAACATACAATTAATTTTAAATCAAACTTAAAAGATGTCAAGGCATTTGTAAGTTCAAAAGACAAACCTCACTAATTTCTGGGAAGTGAAGGTTGCTAGTAGTATATAAATTACCATAAATCTTCTCAATCAAGTAGTAGAAGTGCTCCAAGAACCTAACCACCCTTCTTACATTTTCCCTGTCAATACAGGCTGGAAAACTAGGTTCATTTGGTCTATAATTCAATTCAGCCTTCATATCTCTGTGACTTCTAGCATATCTTTAGAAAAACAAAGCAAGTTATTCACAATTCTTAAACAAAAATATAAATAAACTCAACCAAACTAAAAAAAACCAAAACAAAACTTAAGACAATAAATTATACCTCTCAAATGCCATCTCATATTTTTCTGCATCGTCCAGCATCAAATACAAAGAATTCCACCTTATGGGAACATCCTAGCAAAGCCATTTCTTTGTTTCAATATCTTTAAACTCAAAAGCAACTTTGAATCTTTTTAATCTTAACGAGCTTTGTCTTACATATTTGATAATAGCTCTAACAGCAGTTACACTCTTATGTATCTCCTCCTCACTTATTCCATCACTAACTACAAGGTTGATAATATGAGCTGCGCATCTCATATGCAGATCTTTGTGTACCCAAAATTGTTATTCCCCACTTGCTGAGCGCATTCTTAAAAACCTTAACAACTCCACCATTTGATGATGCATTGTCCACAATCAATGAATATACCTCTTCAATACCTTAGTCCTTCAAACACCTCTCTAAAAGTTCAACTAACCCTTCCCACTTATGGCTCTCAATAGGAAAAAAGTTTAGGTTTTTTTTTGTGCAACTTCTAATTTTCATCAATGTAATGTGCAATTAGACACATGTAAGAAATTTTTTGAATTGAGATCCATGTGTCTGTAGTAAGTGAAATCCTTTGCCTTGATTCTTTGAAAAATAATTTAAGCTTCAACTCTTCATCCATATAAATATTATAACAATCTTTGGTTATTAACCTTCTAGATGGGATCCTAAAATTAGAGGGCAATGCAAGTAGATAAAACTTCCTAAACCCTTGCTTTTCAACAAAATTAAATGGAATTTCATCAACTATGATCAATTCAACTAAAGCCTTCCTCACAAACTTAGGGCCAAACCTCTAGGTGCCTAAGTAGGCATTTGGCCACCATTCTCAACATCACCACCATAATAGCTAAGCATTGTTTGATATTTTCTAAGCCCAGCATTTTGACTACAACTCGGTAAATGAGTTTTCATCGAGGAGATCCCAGTAGTTATACTATTATAAGCTAAAGACTTGTTACAATAGTTTCATTTAGCCTTGTTTTTCCCATCCTTATCAACAATCTCAATAAAATAATCCCATACTTCAAATCTTTTCTTACCATTCTTTCGTTTGCCATTAACAGCATTCTTGGCTTTCTTTCCTCTTATGCTTGTCTGAAATCATCTCCTAATTCTGCTTCTACATTTTGTGGTTGCCCATTATTGATAGTTTAAGTATCTTGGTTCTGTATTAAACAACCATCATTGATACCATAAACATCAACCAACATACAAGTTTAGCTACAAATTAGTTTATTTCTTATATACTTTAGAGTAAATATATCTTAAGTGTAGAGAAGTTAACAACAACAGTTTCTAAACCTTAATACATACTCTTGGGTTATCAAGAATGTAACCTAAACTGGAAGATCTGTAATTAAAAGAACAAAGCTAACAATTAGCATAATCCATATAATGTAAAATTGAAACAAGATTTAAAATTGCAAATAAACTGATGTTTAATTTTAGAAATCTAAAAATTGATACTTTAGGATTTTTAAATGACATATAAACTTAGATTTACTCAAATCAAAATATCAAATTTAGGGTAACATATGATAAATCAATTTAAAGTTTCAAAAATACCAAACTAATAGAAGATTTAGAGCCTCTACCAGCAACCACTGACAGAAGTTGCAGGGAGAGAATAGAACTAAAAGGTAGAGATTGGGTTTTTTGGTATCACAACCAAAGAAGGATCAAGGAGAAATACGGAAAGAGAATAAGGTTAGAAGTAGAAAGAGTACAACCAGGCGACAACATTGACGATTCTACAAAGAGAAAAAGACATGAAATGAGAGTTTCAAAAACATATCAAAGTTTAGAGAAGAAAAGGATGAACAAGTGTGGTAACATGATGTTTAAATCATTTTATACTCATGAATAATATAATGGTTGAATGGAAAAAAATCATGGTGGAACGAATAGAATGGAGGGAAATTAGATCTTTAGATTTGATTTTGGAGGGGGGAAAACTTTGGGTGGGGAGGGAATCTTAAAATATTGAGGCGTAGAGAGGCGATAATGAAGTTTTAGGTTTTTCTACTATTCCCCCCTTGTTCTTTTAATTTTTTGGTGCAAAAAAATTGGGCCTTGAATTTGATTTTTAGGAGGCCCATTTTTGGTTTTTGGTTAATGGAAGGCCTAACTGAAATCGACTCAAACTTTTATTCAGGTAATACCAAACTTGAGCCTAAAACCTTGAATACCATTACTATCGACCCGAATTTATTTTTTCAAGTCTGTTTCTAGTTAATGCTTTGTGTAACCACCTAAATGCCCACTCGTACTTCTAACTACCTCGCAAGGGTGGAGTTAATCTTAGTGTGCTTAAAAAACCCTCTAACCATAAAGTAAAAACAAAATAGAAGAAAGGAATCCAATCCAAAGGAATTGTCTTTTCCATGGAGGTAAAAAACAAACTAAACTCAATCTTAATTTTGATAATGGATTTTTTATCTCATTAATTTTTAACGTACCATTGCATCTCTGCATTTCATTAACTCCATAATAGATGCCCTTTAGTTTCTTGGCAGCCAATATGTTAGAGAAAGGATCTGAACACTATGAATTTTTGAAGTAGGACTCCATGAAAATGGTTTTTGCATTATGTACAAGGACCCTTATCAATGATACCTTAGTTGAGGGATGTTCATGAACGAAAAGTTAAAGTACAGGGACCAGCTTCTTAAAGAAAAATGTTTGAAACTGATCATTGAACATCTGTCTGAAAATTGTGATCTAAACTTGTAATTTACCAAAGACCTGCACTCCTATTCCGGTTGGGCCGGATTTGGACTCAAGACCCGGCCCACCCTAACAATAACATCCACCCTTTCCACCATCTCTCCGCTTTCCTTAGCTTTTCTTCTTCCCCGTTGTTTGGGCAGCTTCGCAGTCCAACACTGTTGAAGTCCTTGGCTGCTTCCATACCTGAAAATCCCGAGGTTGTTTCCTCGGGGAAAACACTCCGACGCTTAAGTCAGCAATACTCAATATTCAAGAGAAAGATGCTCTCAAGGAGTAATTGCAGAGAGAGAAGCGTAGAGATTAATTACCTTCATCGGAGGTAGTTGGGGGGTATTTATAGCCCCAGATATTGACATGTATCTACACGCGTGAGCATCTCATTGGCCCACGTGATACTGCCCACCCGGGTATGTCTCCTCTTTTTGGGACTGTGGGCGCATAGTTGGGCCTGCTATGTGTGGCCCAAAATGGGCATTGGGCCTCATCCCAACATTACTCCCCCCTCAGCGTTCGGTTGACGAACTCGGTCGAGAGTCTTGCTGATGCGGTGTTTGACACTGAGGATGTGGAGTGATGCTTTGTGTTCATGGTCGACCTCATGCATGGCCGACCTGGGCGGCGTGAAACCAGAGTGGTCGCCTGCTGACCTCCTGCAGAGCAGGCGCAAGTAATCGGGTGGTCAGGCAAGGCGAGCTCGGCCTGATTAGCGAGCTGAGCAGATGCGCATAGACGACCTCGTCTGAACGAGCTAGCATATAGTGAACGAGCTGAAGCAGCTGACCCGTACGGGTTGATGTGGGTGATCTTGGTCATCACCGTAATATAAATATGTAGGGGCAGAGCTGATCTGACGTTTGATGTTTAGAACTAAGGTGAATCTTTGATTTGTTACGATCTGATCTCGACAGAGTTTCGAGCTTGAAGTCTCTAATTTGTTACGATCTGATCAAGTTGGAAATCTCTGGAGAGATCGTGGGTTAGTTACGAGCAGGTTTCTCGAACTTTTCAAATTTTAAATTTTGTTACGAGCTGGTCGAAATCTCGGGAGAGATCCTGAATCAGTTACGAGCAGATTTCTCGAACTTTTCAAATTTTAAATTAGGACAGATATCTGAAGAAATTTTGTTTTTCAGCAGGTTGAGTTACACAACTTTTTGTTCAAGGTTTCCCACAGACGGCGCCAAATGTTTGGGCAGCTTCGCAGTCCAACACTGTTGAAGTCCTTGGCTACTTCCACACCTGAAAATCCCAAGGTTGTTTCCTCGGGGAAAACACTCTGACGCTTAAGTCAGCAATACTCAATATTCAAGAGAGAGATGCTCTCAAGGAGTAATTGCAGAGAGAGAAGCGTAGAGATTAATTACCTTCATCGGAGGTAGTTGGGGGGTATTTATAGCCCCAGATACTGACATGTATCTACACGCGTGAGCATCTCATTGGCCCACGTGGTATTGCCCACGCGGGTATGTCTTCTCTTTTTGGGACTGTGGGCGCATAGTTGGGCCTGCTATGTGTGGCCCAAAATGGGCATTAGGCCTCATCCCAACACCCGTAGAAGCTGCAGCTTCACCTGCCGCCGGTTTCCTGCTTCATTGCCCTCGCTTACTGGTGCGTTTCTTACCTAACCGTTTGTTTGGTTGCTTAGCAAATTTGGGAAATCAAAAAGGAAAATTGCCACTGCTAATATGCTTCTTCTTTGTTTTCCTTAATCAAAATCAAAACTAACCGTAATTACACAGATAGATTTTTTCTTTTCTTTTCTTTTCAAGGTATTATTTTAAATTACATTAAGCAGCTGATTTTAAGAGTTCTGAGATGTGGCTTTTCGACTGATGTTTTGTTCATTGAATATTTTGTGAGTCCCTCCCGCCTGGTTAGAAAACAGTGGAATTTTATTGTTATTATTATTATCAATAATTATTAATCAAAACAAGGGTAGTCTTACATCAACTCAAAATTCAATCTTCCTTTCCGGTGTATTGGATTGGATTGGATGTTGCGGGAATTAGGAAAGGAAATGCCAATTTTGCTTTTCAGATTGATTGTTCTGTTTCCAATGGAGACTGATGAAAGAAAGAAAATGTATATTTAAAGTGTGCTTAATCATTAATATTTATGGAATTATGGGTTTAAGAGTTTTAATTTTATACAAGTAATTTCATAAGTGTTCATTTTATTCATGTGTAAATTTTTGGTGATTAAATGTTTGATAACTAAATGGAGAGAATTAGAAAAAAAAGGACTCAAATATAGAGAGCCAGAGAGATGAGGGTCCAAGGACAATATTTAGAAGTAATTTAGAAGTTTGAAGGCTCGAGTGAGATTTTCTCCATTCTTGATTTAGGAGCAAATTGCAAAGATCAAAAATATGATGATCAACTTGCGCGGAATCCAGGAGTCAGGGACCAAGAATGTTATTCTGCCATTAACTAAAATTGCACAAAAGGCCAAAAACCCGACACGGAGGATGCAGTTGACGCTCCGCTCAAAGTGCCCGCACCTTTTAGAGAGTGTCGACCCCTTTGGCGATTTTTCAGCCAAATCATATCTGTCCTAATTATTGTGATGTGAGCCCCACAACCATTCTAATTAGGGTTTCTAAGATTCTATAAATACTCATCCAAGTTATTTTAGAGGGGGGTTCCAGGGCTAGAGAGGCTGCTACCAGGCTTTTATTTTCTTGGCAACTAAACTTTCAACAAGATTATCTTAATTAAAGAGTTTGACTTGTTATTTTATTTTAATTCTTTTATGGATTTTATTATTTAATTTTATTTTTGAGAGATTATTAATTATTTTTCAGATTTGAAAATCCTGAAAATTATATTTATAAAATTTCATATAAGATTAGTTATGCTTTTTATGTATGATTTATTAGGATATAATTAATTGATAGATTTGTTTTGCGGGTTGATCCATTATTGTAGTATTGTCGATTAGATATATTGTTGCTCTCGGATAACTCGTAATGATAAATCAGTTTGTTCTTCATTGAAATTAATTTCTCTCAAAATAAATATGGGTCTTCATAGTTAAATCTTCCGATTGTTTATTTGACATATGAAATATGCAATTGAGTAATAAATAGGAATCAAAATTTATAACACTTAAACAAATCAATGAAGTGAACCTTGAAGTCTTGTTCATCATAATATTGTTTTTAATTTTTTATAATTATCATCTTTTATTTAAATATTTTTATGAATTCATCTTTTAATGTAATATCTCATTGTGATAATTCTTTTTGTTGATTTAATATAATTTCTCTGTGGATTCGACACACATAAAACTACACTACAACAACCGTTTAGCCGAAAGTATTAATTTTTGGGTGAAACATCAGAGACTCTAATCTAATCTTGTACTAATTGACTATTTCACTTTGGTTTTAAGATTTCAAGGAAATGGGAAGAATTTGGAATGGGTGCCAGCAGCGATCCCAACCCTTAGGCCTTTGATGAGCAGCAGAAATGCTCCGAGATATACACCTATGAAGCCCCCTGGCACATCTACGCCATGAACTGGAGCGTACTATCACGGGGTGAGACTAGCTCCGATGGCAGTTGTCTCGAAGGCGGAATCTAGCTCGACCTTGTGCGGCACTTAACTCGGAATTACCCTCGTAAACCCGAACCAAGTCAGCCTTCCCCAACACTGGCGTGGCCCCTTAACTAGGCTTGAGGTTAGCAACACAAACATGAAGGTAGGAAGTTGGGAGAAGAAGAGAATTTATTAAGATTGCAAGGGAGTGTACAAGAGCATGAGTACAAAGCCCCTCTCTGCACTCACTCACCTAGCAGCTCACTCTCTCAAGCCAACTCCTCTCTTCTACTTAGGCCACCCCTATTTATAGAAGAGATAAGGCCCAAAGCCCTCTGTAAATGAGGTCTCTAGAACCCTCCACAAATTTCCCCTCACATGTACAGTTGCTAGAAACTTCTCCACTCTCCCCCTAGCCTAGCCTACAATATTCTAGAAAAACCCCTTCTAGAATTATCTACAAGGCCCTAGGAAGATATTTACAAGAGTTAGGCCCACTAGGCCCCTCTAGACCCCTGTCTGGAGTTATCCACTTGCGCCAGCAGCTTCTAGAACATTCTGGGCCGTTCCAGTCCGTCACACAGGTGTCGACACCATAATCCAGTGCATTTTCCACATGTCGACACTTTGTCCGCTACCGCCATCGCACGCTATATGGACGCCCTTGGCTGCTCCCACATGCGTCTGCGTGTCTCGACCGTGACCCCATGCCTTCCACGTCGCGCTCGCGCCCGCGTCCGTGCCCCTGCTCGCGCGCCCATGGGTGTCGTGGCTGCCGCCCCGTGCCACGATGGCCTTGACTTGGGCCCCCGAACTCGCGCTCCGTGACACTCTCCCCCACCAAAGCCCTTGACGCCCTCGTCAAGGCTGCTCGTGTCGAGTGCCTCAATCTTCTTCGCGAGTTGCTGCAAGTCTGTGCCGCGTCCCCACCTTGCTTCCGCTGCGAGCCGCGTGCGGACTATGCCGTGCCCCGAGCCTTCCCGCGCTTGGACTCCGCTGTCTGGCCGTGTTTCCGCTGAACACCCCCTCTCACTTTCATGGCTGCAAGGACTGTCTGCTCCGTTGGTAGCCGCTCTAGTGGCACCTCGTAGCGAACACCCCCATCCTCAAAGAGTATGCGCCCATCCCTCGTGAAAGTGAATGGCAGCATCCGATTGATGAAGTCACGACCCAGCACCATCTTGAAGTCCTTCATGGGCACGACGTGTAGGTCGATCTCCCCCGACCATGAGCCTATTTGCACTGGCACCCCTCGTGCCACACTATGGATGGGCTGTGAAGGCTGATCGACGACCTTCACCCAACCATGCTCTTTTGTGCATGGCAGACCCAACTCTCCCGTCGAGCTTGCCACAATCAAGCTTTGATCCGCGCCACTGTCCAGTAGAGCTGGGACGCTTTGCCCCTTGATCTCGACAGATACATATTTGTAGGTCTTGCCAAGGCTCGTTTCTGCTGCTCCATTGGCCTTGGCGTCGCCCCCGCTTGCCTTCTGGGCCACTATGGAGTTGAAAACTGTCATGGCACCCAAGCGTAGCTCCCTGGCTTGGGGCTCCTCCCCGAGGGCTGAGATGATGGCGTTGAGCTTGTTCCACTGTGGGCATTCCCTCATCCAGTGTGGCCCTCCACACAAGAAGCACCCTTGCTTCCTCTTGGGTCGCTCACCGCTGCCATCCCTCGAGGTTTCCATGCCCCCGCATGGATTGGAGGTTCTGTGTGGCTTGTCTCGCCCACCTCTGCTCGCAAGGGACCCTTGAAGCTCTTCCACAGCCCTGCTTATGTTCGCCATGAAAGAATCGAAGGCACCTTGAAGCTTACCTTCAAGTGGCTCGACTGTGCCACCCCCATCCTCCTCGGAGTTAAGAGTGACAAGCTGCTCGTGGACGTCCCCCGTAGCCAAGCCCCTCTTGGCCAGCCTTCCCTCAAAGGCTGTTGTGACGTCCTGTGACGCTGGTGACACCGCCCTCGACCTTCTCTTCCATCTCGCGCCCCCACGCGTCTCCCGTCGACCTCGTTCCTCCTTTGGAATGTCGCTTGCCTCCACGCCTTTGCTTGCCATGGCTACGATTTTCCGCTCGTAACTAGGCTCCAACCAGGCTCGCACCACGCTCTCACCAGGCTCGAACCGCGTCTACAGCAGGCTTCGAACCGCGTTTGATGCAACTTTGAACCGTGCTTTGTGCAGCTTCGAACCAGGCTCTGATATAGGCTTCAAGCTGGCTCTGATACCACTTTGTCATGGGGTGAGACTAGCTCCGATGGCACTTGTCTCGGAGGCGAAATCTAGCTCGACCTCGTGCGACACTTAGCTCGGAATTACCCTCGTAAACCCGAACCAAGTCAGCCTTCCCCAACACTGGCGTGGCCCCTTAACTGGGCTTGAGATTAGCAACACAAACACGAAGGTAGGAAGTTGGGAGAAAAAGAGAGTTTATTAAGATCGCAAGGGAGTGTACAAGAGCATGAGTACAAAGCCCCTCTTTGCACTCACTCACCTAGCAGCTCACTCTCTCAAGCCAACTCCTCTCTTCTACTTAGGCCATCCCTATTTATAGAAGAGATAAGGTCCAAGCCCCTCTGCAGATGAGGTCTATAGAACCCTCCACAAATTTCCCCTCACATGTACAGTTGCTAGAAGCTTCTCCACTCTCCCCCTAGCCTAGCCTACAATATTCTAGAAAAACCCCTTCTAGAATTATCTACAAGGCCCTAGGAAGATATTTACAAGAGTTA